CGTTAGATGGGTTGGTTCGAACGGTTCAGGGACCGATTTACTACACGGATCTCGTCAGCGATTGGGTGAACTACGGGTTCTTGCGTGAGTCTGCGCATAGGTGGCACGATCGCAGGACAAGGCAGGATAGGATGCTGGTAGGAAGGCCCGACGACGTAGGCGTTATTGTGCCGTCAGCCCCAGAAGGGGGAGACTGACGTTAAACTGGGACAAAGAATAAATATTTGTAGGGAGTCAAGAAAGTGCGCGCGGGAAAGAGCAAGGTGGCGATCTCCGATTCGGCCCGTATGATCTGAGGGTCGGTGGGGCCATGGGAGGTGGTGGGTTGACTACCAGTACACTGCTCTGCGCTTGGGGCAACTGGTTCTGGGCATCGATAGGTCGCAAATTTGCGTCATCGTACCCCGAAACCTATTCGCTTCCACTTCACTAATCTGTAGCCAGCAGAACACCCGAGATCAGAACATCGAGGACATTTGAGTGCCGGAGCAGTGCACTGTTTTGCCTTTTTTTAACATGGGGAAATGCCTACGCATACCCGCCTCGCGGGGGGCAAGGACGGGTTATGTCGGACTCGCACCGACTAAAACCCCATGGTGTTCCACCTTCGTCGCATATTGGCAGGGCTACGGGAACGCTTTCGCACACTTCCGCGGCCCTACCAGCGACTGCCGCCCCATGGCAGCACCTCCTCGGGAGAGGAATATTCCTCCCCGTTCTCCTTCTCAAGTAAGGCGCACCAGAACACATGGCGCGCCTTCCTCCACGGCCTTCAATTACATTTGTGCAACAGACACCCCCGCATCTGATGCACGAAGGCCATGGGGCCAGGAAAAACGAGCACTTAGAAGTACTAGCCTTCCCGACCCCAGCGGCGGATCTGGTCTATGGCTCCGCCGCCAACCAAGATTCGGCTGCGGAGGGTAGGGAGAGCGGCGCCTCGCAATACCGATAATCCTCCCCCCCCGCAGCCCCACCACCACCGCATCAACGGTGCGGCACCGTTTGAGTCGCGGAGGATAGGGCGAGTGGCGCATCGCCATACCAACACTCCTCTTCCTCCGCGACTCCACCTCGGCTGCAGCGGTAGAGGGTGCGGAGTCCCCACTCGCTGCAGTCCACCAACACACATCCGAAGTGGGCTCCCCAAGCCCACTCGGAGTGGCCACCTCAGGCCGGCCCTTCACCTCGGGCCAGCCACGTGGGTTCCTCTTTGTTCACCGTGGGAGTCCAAGCCACGGCTACTAAGCCCCCCGCCACGACAAGGCGGGAACCCAAAGATTTTAAAGATTACAAAGATTTTTAACTAAGTAGAATACGATCACATTTTTGTTAGGAATCGTATTTCGTGTTCATTTGTTGTTTGACACTATAAACCTATTTCTTGCGAGCCAAGCATAGCGATTCTCGACGAACGGCCTTTCAAGTTGCATGAGTTGGGCATCACAGAACTCACGTAGCAGAGAAAATATGGTCGCAGTCAACAGCAAAGGACTGCAACTTCTGTACGTAGTACTATAATTTTTTATGCGCTAATACTCAGTTAAATAAAGCGGTAAAAAGGTTATTATTTCGCAAATTAATTTTCTTTGCAAGCCGTACTTTCCATTTGACAGTTGACAGATCGCGGTTATTCGAAGCCATTGACGTTTCTATTCTTATCTGAATCGCATTGTACATGTTGATGTTAATTGAAGATTTTAGGTGATATAGATTGTAGGCGTCATGGGCATCCAATTGCTATCGGGTGTACACGGCCACCCGATTGTACCGCCGTCTCTTTGTATCGTGAGTTCGTGTAGGTATACCGGATGATCTTTTTTACAGTCTGAAAAAAAATTGGGTGTAACATGTTAACCATTGAGTTATACAACACTAGAGGAGCAAACCACATTACCGCGCGTCGAAAAAAGTGTAACCACTATCCAAACGCGACGACGTAGCTTTGAAACTAATAATAATAATTTTAAATAAACATACACAACTCACTTACACAAGTTGCGAAAACAACATCGTCGCTAAGATTAGAGTCTTTTTATAAATACCTCTTTTATATCTGCACTACTCTAAGACATACTAGTAGATAATGGCTAGGGCATAAAGGCATTAAGTAGGGCATTAGGTCCGCCTATGTACATTTCATTGTATATGGAGTTAAATAAAAAAAATCTTAGTGTCTGAGGTAACACGGCACTTCTTTATTTTATTTTTCTGTAGGTATCTTTATTTATCCATACATGAAGAGAAACACACGTTCTAAATTAAAATATATGCGATTTATTCCATAACGATTTTGCATTTCTATCTTTATTTTCATATCTCGAACTCGAAGTCCGGGGAAATGATAAATATAGCAGTGCAGCGACCTTCCTACGTTGATAATTTCATAAAATAATATTTGTGATATAAAAAACAACTATTATTAATTCATTACAACCTGTTAAAATCAACTGCTCAACATTGGCTTTCCCTTGGAACCAAAGATTATGCTAAGCATATACTCAGCTAAGTTTTTCGTAAGTAAAGTCTAAGCAAAGTCAAAGTACGGTCTATAGATCTCAGCATTAGATTCCCGATAGGAGAATATTTGCCATAGTTGCCACGCTTGACAACCGCAGTTTTTTATAATTTTGGTTTGTTATAAAACAAATAATGCTGGTCATGTCTTCTTTCTGTTTAACTCTGTCGCCTCTAACGACGTCCACGGGACTCGTAGGTAGTGGATTCTTTAACGCCTCCGCTACTTCACGGCACGACAGCTTAATACCTTTTTCTTCTTTTTTATTGGCTACCATAATCATTTACCATCACAGAACGGAAGTCACTACATTTTGCTGATATTTTCCATAGTCGTTTCTTACGAACCTATGGGACTAAATGGAAGTGTGAAATCTCTTACTCTCCAACTATGCCAAGCATGCTTCTAACATGCCAAGCCTTTTATAATTAGGTTGTAAGAAGTTTAATAGTGTACACGCCTCTGGAGTAGTTCCGTGGCGGAACTACTCCAGAGGAGTGGAGCAGAATTGCGGTGGTCCTGTTCTTCAAGAAAGGCGACAACGTTCTCTTAAAGAACTACAGACCAATTTCTCTTTTGAGCCGCGTCTACGTGCTGTTTTCGAAAGTCATTACGAATCATATCGCACGCAGACTCGACGACGTCCAGCCGCCTGAACAAGTCAGTTTCCGAAAGGGCTTTAGTACCATAGACCACATACATAACCTTCGGCAAATTTTACAGAAGTCCGAAGAGTACAATCTGTCACTTTTCCTTGCGTATGTGGACTATGAGAAAGCCTACCGCGTACCGCGGCTTCAAGTAGTCAAGTGCAGCGATGACAAATTGGCTGTCGTCAATCGAAGTGCTGAAGTGTTTGTACAGTAGGGCTACGATGGTTTTCCAGCGTCCGAAACCAATCCAACTGCAGAGAGGTGTAAGACAGGGTGACGTTATATTCCCGAAGTTCTTCACAGCTGCATTGGAAGACGTTTTCAAGCTACTGGACTAGAAAGGATACGTTATTAACATCAATGACGAGTACATCTTACCTTCGATTTGCCGACGATATAGTTCTTATGGCAGAACCGCTGGAGGATCTAAGCACTATGCTCAATGACCTCAATAGTGTCTCCCAACGGATAGGTCTTAAGATGAAAATGGACAAAACAAAGATCATGTGTAATGTCCATGTCACACCTATGCTTGATGTTGATGACGAGTATGTTTACCTGGAACAAATAGTTCGACTAGGTAAGTCCAACTTGGACCGAGATCTTCGACTTCAATCGACGGTTTCAATTCGGCTAGGCAGCATTCGGGAAATTACGACACATCTTTTCGTCAGGTATGCCTCGAAACCTGAAAACGTGATTGTACAACCAGTACGTGTTGCCAGTGCAGCTATGGTCCATCATAGAAGGAAAGCAACAATGACATGGTGGCAGCAGCACGCTACTGCGTGGCAAGGTGAATGTTAAATACACATGGAGACAACCTTAGGACCCAAAATAAGCACATTTGATGTCCTTGGTCCTTATACAAAAGTCTTTCATCCAACCACAAATATGGAAAAAGCAGTGAATGAATTCAAATCTGCTCAGATTCATCTTCTGCATAAAAAAAAGTTTTGGGCTACATCTGAGAGTTTTTTTGATAACTTGCGTGACACACAAGTGAAATATTAGTGTAATAGTCATGCCCAAATGAACTTGGTTGAAACCCATACAGGCGCAGCTTTTATTTGGTACTATAAACACTCTGTAAAAAATTAATACTTTACTAACTATTACTTCCAAAAAGCATAAATCGGAAAATCAAAAAGAAAAATACAAATAGAATGAAGAATTAAGTTAAACACGTTAAAGTAAATAAAAGAAATCAAAGACTGAGTATATTAAAAAAAAATGTAGTTAATAGAATCACTTTGCGGAAATCCATTATATTAAAGTTGTTTGAAATTAATTCGTACAAATCCGCTCAATTAATTAAAATTATATGTCTTACCTAGTTTGAAGAGCATCATCATCTTAGCGGTCAGCCACCGCAGAGTCGACATCATCTGTGAGGATGCTTCGTGTAGAGGCGAAACACGTGTCGTATTATCGTCGATGCTGTGTCTTTCCTAGAACAGTGGTGTTGGGAGTAGTGGTACTGGGCATAATGGTGACAGGATTAGTGCACGCATTTGAGAGTGGAGGGCGGGAGGTGTTCTTCAAACTAAGTAAGACACATCATTTCATTTTATTGAGCGGATTAGTGCGAATTAATTTCTAAAAACTTTAAAAAAATGTTATAAAGAAAAAGAAGAACAACCAATACAATGTCCAAAAAAGGAGTTAAATATCAATTACATACGATGCAAGAGAAGGAAGATACAAAACTATTAAATACTCTTCGTATCGCTTGTATATGTATCGTCTCCCTCAGAGGACTGGATACCCTGTGTGGTGTCTACATATTTGTTATTTTTTTTTATGAATAATAGATAATTATCCCAAAGGTGCGCGGCAGCTACGCGCGGCAGTCGCGGGACACAAATTGCCGCGCGACTAGTTTAGATCTACTGCGCGGCATCGCTGCATGAAAATCGCTCTAGTAAAAACTGCCTTCACTATGATTTTTATTAGAGAAAAGGTAAGGTAAGGTAGACCAAAATAAAAACATATTTTTAATGCTAAGGAGCGGTTCTATATTATATATTTTTCCAAAGAGATAGGCCTACCGTTTTTTAGTAATAAGTTTAATATTCAAAGAGAGGCATTTTGGAACTACCTATTTTAAAAAGATACAATTAGGTTTAACTTTTTGTACTGTTAATAAAATATAATATGTTTTTTCTCTGTTTTTTCTTTCCCTTCTATAAGAACTCAAAAGCCTTTTCATTTTCAATTTTAAAGCTGCTTTTGGTTGTACGAATGTGTTTTATATTTCATCCCATAGATCATCTCGTCCTATGTTATTATTGTAATACTAGTACTACTACTACTTTTTACCCGCGGCTTCACTCGCGTGGGCTTGAATTTAGAAACATCGATCTTACTATTTCGTACTAAAATTAGCAAAACTGGATCACTTGTAGAGATACGTCTGTATCTGCGTCTATATTGGCAATATTATAGGCTACAGAAACACATAAGTTGGTTTATCAGAATCGCATTATAATCATACGTCAAGCAACACCTTTTTTTATATCGAGCACGTCTTCTGATATTGTTTTGAAGTTGATATAGTTTTGATAAAATAAGATTTAATTTCATGGTCTTCATTAATATTGTTACCATTGAATATTGTTTAGCACCACATGCCAGTATTTTTTTACGTTCGAGTAATCTTCGAAATTTCAAACACACATCAATCGTATAAAATAGAAATTAACATCTACAGGAAGGAAAATACTAAATCCTCCTTTTTTATAGTTTCGTAATCAGATAGAAAGTAGCCTATAAGTAGCCCCGGGTCCCTATATACCTACACACAGCATTTCATGGATCATGGTGAATCTTGAATAAACAGACAAACACTCTAAAAACCACTAATTTGGCTTCAGTATTCTTATTCAGTGACTTTACTTAGCCCCCTGGACTTGTTTTTTTCCAGAAAATATTAGAATTACAGACTCGACTTATTAAATGTATAGATCGTTTACGTCTAGCATCCCATAATGGAGTATAAGAGCCATATATTTCAATAAGACGAATTGCTGTTTCGTCGTCCATCAATCTCACACGTCCGTCTATACACAACCATGGTCGAACCAACAGACAACACTAACCGTTCGGCGTTCGCCGCGCGCGGCATGGAGCTCGCGGCTGCCGCGCGCGGCCGTCGTCCAATTATAGCGTTACGTAGCATTTACGCAACCATCGATCACTTAGTGATCAATGTACGCTACGGGTAATTACGGACAGCAAGCTTTTTTTTAAATATTTAATAGTAGTTGATTAGTTAAAAAAAAGATTATGTTAATTTTGTAAGGATGTAACCAAAGTTTAGTTATATTGAAAAATATACTTATTACTACTAAAGTTATAGTTTTCATTGTAATGTTAAGTGTCCGCAATCTCTCTCTCTCTCCCCCATCTACTCGTAACCTCGTAAGTAGCCCAAGAGAAAGAATAATTATGTACAAACATTTAATGTCATCGCCATAAATAGGCAACATTGAATTTATAAAAAAATTCCATTCTTTCATACAAACAAACACGAATTCCAATTGATAAGTGAATGTGGTGACCCATAGGCCATTTATCATCATCTAATGTAGATGCGTGGACGTGGATCACTAAGATAGAATGACTCGTTACCGTAGTAAAAAGGGTCTTCGGTTCTCGTCACTTACTGTAAACCACAGCAGCAAAATGCTGCTATTCAGGCTGCTGCTATACTGTGCGTGCGTGGTTCTTCTCCGGTGGAGCCGATTCCATTTGTATAGTTATAATACACACAAATATAAAATTTATTTTTGGCTTTCATTCGCTGCAAGTTATAAGTAAACAAAATATGTTTATTTTTCTTCAGTTAGTCAGCACTGCACTATTAATCCCAGTATTTCAACAATGTTGAGAGCTACACGTGTAGGAAATAGATTCAGATTTGTTCGTTTTGTACATTGCTATATTCGTCACGGAGTCTACATCACAACACTTAGATATAATATGTAGGTATTAGAAGAACGCGTGTAGTATCGCTATTAGTTAATTTGTGGTACCTATCGCCTTGAGAAAAGCCACCATCGTATCTTGACCCGAAGAAATGAAATGAATTGTTTTTATTTGTAATTACATGTAATGAAGAGAAATTACGGTTTTAAATCTTTCAATTATAGGTACATAGATTAGTTTTGAGACTAGACAAATGTGTATTATATATAGGCATAGAATACTATAATATACAATAGAATGGCTGTCAACCTTATTTTGTACCGAGGTTCGGAGTCGTCGGAAGCACACATACATATTTATTTGTAAATAGCGTTCGATTTGGCATTTTCTAAATAATTTGCATAGGAAATTTTGAAACGATTGTAACGTCAAAACACATCTCGTTTTGACATTTATACGTGTGAATTGACGTCTTGTGATATTTTAGTGGCTACACCATAGACCTAGGATTACGCTTACGCTAACGGGCTCCGCCCAAAACCCCGTTCTATTATGTAGGTATTATAGTATTCTATGTATATATATCTCGTCGAGAGGTCTCGTCTAATGAAGTCAACGCTCCGTCCCCCTCGTGCTCTAATCCAGAATCCCTAAACCTTTCAGCTCGAGTTACAAAACCGCTTTCAGTGCCTAGAGGATTGCAATACAGTGGACGATATGAATGACAAGCTCGTGGAAACTGTCCATGCGGTCAGCTAAGTTCTGCAAGACTCGCCGCAGAAGAACACAAAAACTCTCCGATCACACTCTTAATCTCATGGCTGCTGACGGGAGATGAGGCTGCAATCGTCAACAGATTTGACAGCATACAGGCAACTGAACAGATAGATCTCCAAATGCATGCGGCGAGACTTACGCAACTTTAATGCTGCTCGTATTAAAGAAGCGATCGAGCGGAACCAGGGCTCCAAAGTCTTTGCCAGAGATCTGTCTGCCAGAAAAGCCAATGTCACTGAAGACTGAGTGTGGCAACATCGTTTTCGGGACACCTGAGATTCTGAGTGAGATTGAGAGGTTCTATGGGCAGCTGTACAGATCATCGTTGCAGCCACACGCAAGTGTGAGTAACGATCCAAGAGCAAGTCTTATCCGACACTATTCCGATGATATCCCGGACGTCAGTCTGAGCGAGATTAGAATGGCTCTCCACCACCTTAAAAACGGCAAGGCCCCGGGCGAGGATGGAATTACAGCGGAGCTTCTGAAAGCGGGTGGAACACCGGTACTTGAAGTCCTTCAGAAGCTCTTCAATTCCGTCCTCCATGGTGGCACTACTCCGGAGGCGTGGAGCAGAAGCGCGGTGGTCTTGTTCTTTAAGAAAGGCGACAACGCTCTCTTGAAGAACTACAGACCGATTTCCCTTCTGAGCCGCGTCTACGTGCTGTTTTCGAGAGTCATTACGAATCGTCTCGCACGCAGACTCGACGACTTCCAGCCTCCTGAACAAGCCGGCATATGTGGACTATGAGAAAGCCTTTGATTCCGTCGAAATTTGGAGCACCGCCCAAATTTCCTGATATTTCCGTAAAATCCAATATGTATAAGGCCAGTAAGGCCCGCGACCGAGCCAGTATTGAATTGGCGATGCAAGCGAATACTTCGATGCGATTTGACTGCGAACTAAAGTCCAATTGTGTTTTATTAAACATTAGTGTTTTAAGTTGTAATTGGTATTCTGGTAATTAAAGTGACAATTTTGGTAATTCAATCGGCAGTTTTTATTGTCACGAACCCCAAGCTCGTAACAATCAGCTTAGTCCAGCAGTAAATTTATACAGCCTTAGGTAGGGTGTGGCAGTGAGTTTGATTGTTTTGATAATGTAGATAATGTTTTGCACTAGTTTCGTGTTTTAGCTTGTACTAAATGATTGTGATAAGAAAGTTATTCATAACGCTGTTATTTAGAACATAAATTTAGAACAGTCATTCACCTGATAAAAGATAGTTAAAGAAGACTGCGCGGTGGTACGAATTTAGACGCATAGCACACGCGTAGGAAAAGGATCGATTACGGACTCAAAAGAATGAGGACCGTCGTAGTGAATCCATAAACTTATTTACTTTAATTATGAACCCATATAAAACGGCAGTATCTTGCAAGAAAAATTCTCGAGGGACGACCTGGTAAGAGATGCAGAAGTCGAAGGACAGATGGCTCAGGATCGTACTTCGTGGCATTCCTTGGGGGAGGCCCATGTCCAGCAGTGGAGTCGTGTAGACCTGTAATGATGATAGTGCCATGAATATACCTAGACAAGTTTGACTAGAATATAACATTTCATCCAATATATCGACCTTCAGCGAATCGATGGCCGTCTAGCCCTTCAAGCTCTAAGCGGTCGGATTCGACCGCGCACACCCACAACACTTTAAACCATTAAAACTTATATTTAGAGACTACTTTTCTACGAAGTTTGGCATTATAGAATTAATATGAAATTTTCTATACTCTAGTGCAATAAAAGACAGTTATACTATGGATATTTATTTATAATCTACGTTCATTTCTTACGCCATTTTAGCGTGAATGTTATTGTGTTGATTTTTGGATTTTTCTAGTGTTTTATTAGTGTATTATTATAGTGTTTTATAATAAATTGTAATGAAAGTCTTTGTGTAAATATAATTTATCTTTTTATATAAATAATTTTGAGTAATATATATTGAAATAATTGTGATTTTGTAGTTGCTTGGTACTTGTGTTTTGTTTTTGTTATCAAAATATGATAGTAGAAAAGTAGCCTCTAAATATAAGTTTTAATGGTTTAAAGAGCTGTGCGTGGGTGCGGTCGCATGCGACCGCTCTGGATTTGACGAACGCATGCGATTGAATGGGAATTTTAAGGGGACTGTGGAGCTAGTCAGCAGTCAGGTATTGAACAGTTCGGATTTTTTTTTAACTTTATACATATATAATTATTTT